GTGGTATTTGAACAAAAGGGAGAACAGTTTCTAATTTTTTTTTTTTTAAAGGAAACTTCAAACACAGTAGAGCAGGAACTACGCAAAGAAGTTGAAGATCTGAAGCTTCGTCTGCAAATGGCTGCTGACCATTACAAGGAGAAATTTAAAGAATGTCAAAAACTTCAAAAACAAGTAAACAAGTTTACAGAACAGGCAGTAAGTCGAATGGGAGAAACTGTACTTGCTTTTGGTAAATTTTCAGCAGCTATTTAATTTCCTTCTGCAAAACCCAGTGCTTTTAAAACAGGTTAAAACATGCAGTAAACAATGGGTCTTTAAAATTTACCATTTTCTTCCATAAAGCTAAATTACTTCAATGATTCTTTTTTAGATAGTTGTTGAAACCAAGCATAGGATTTATAGTAACTGGTGTATGTAGAAAGCTAACAGTTTGGATGAACCTATAAGCATAACATTGTTCAAGGAAGAATTTTGAGACTGAAGCAGGTCAAAATCCATAATTACTATCTCTACTCAGTAGGACCACAAAAAACCCCCACAAAACACCAAAACTGCAAAAGCAGGGAAATGGAGAACTTGGAGGAGGATTTCAAAGTGAAGTGGGGAGAAAGTTTCTACAACACAGTATATAGTTCTATTCCATAAGTATTTTGTATTCTTATCAGCCTTCTAAGCTTTAAATGAGGCTTTTGCAGTGATGGTGTGGGTCTTATGCCACCTAGTAACTGAACCTGTTAGCAAATTTGAAACAGATTTGAGGGCAGAGTTCTTCAGAACTTGGTGAAAACTAGTGACTGGGTCTGAGAGGATCTCAAATGGGGAGAAGGTGTATGAGCAATGGCAAGATGTACAAATGTAAATTCTTGAGAAGAAGAGACCGAAGTATTTCTGCTATCCTCAGAAGAAATGGGGTAGTTACCCAGCTTTGATCCACAGGTTACTTTAAAAAGTTGTCTTCTCATCCAGAAGGTCAAAGGTGAATGAGATGTCCTATCAGACTGCCTGTGGCTTTTCCTTAGAAATCTTCCAGATCTTTGGCTATGTTGTACATCTGGTAACAAACACCAAATTTCACTGCTTTGACACCAGAAGTCCAGCACTCATTACTAATAAAGACTCCATTTTGTAATGGAATATTGGATTTAAATTGATGGATTTAAGCGTGACTGATTCCTGAGAAAATGAGAATTTTTGAATAATTTGCATAAAATTACTGTTTCTAGGGAAAAAATAACTTTAAGATTATAAAAATCATAGTCTGAGGCAATTTCAGTGTTAGTAGAATGAAACGTGTTTGCATATTTATTATTGCCTCCTGTTTTAATGAGCAATTACGTCTAGTTCAATTTTGGAGGAGATGATAGTGCAAGATGTATGTTACTTTGTGCTTTGGCTTTCATTTCATTAAATACCCAAACAAAATTTCTTTCCACAAAGAAAATTGCAGGGCATCAACAGAAACTGACAGATGCATCTAACATTGAGACAGCTACTGCCATCGTTACAGACAAAAAGTTGTCTGCATCTCCAGGTATCAACAGCTTAAATTTTGTTATTTATATTGGCCTGAAAGTGTTGTCTATGTGAAGTAGTTCGTAATAGTATGTATAGTATAAAGTAGGTGGACTTACTATGTTTTAGTTAAAGCAGTGATTAGAAATGTCAAAATGCATCTAAAAATCATGTGCCTTTTTTCAAGTGGTAACATTCATAAATAACTTCATGTATCTTTTTAGAACAGTTCGGTTGATATTAGTTAATGTCAGTAGGACTGAACTATTGAGCAGAAATTCAAGGGTTAACACAGAGCTGGTTTTGCCAAGCTAATAAATGTTAATTAAAAAAAAAAAATCCTCCCTAAATTTGCAAATTGTGTACAATAACACGGTAATTTTCCAGTCCTGTTATGATGGCTATCCACTGTAGCGTTCTACTGTAAAATCAAATCCACTGAAAAATTCTGATTATGTGATAGCAAGGTCAAGTCTATAGATTATTCTTATGATTTATAGGCAGTAGTGGTTTATTAGAACTTATTTAACCAGGTTATAATTTTTATGAACTATTAAGTTCTTACAAAACTAATCTTCTAAAACGTAAACATATAATAGGTTAAAACTAAACCTGGTTTATTATTCAGTTTAAATTGATAAATGCCAGTAAATGCTGACTAATTTTGTTTGTGTTACTTTGTAGTTCACACATTCTTTCTGTCTGTAGAGACTATAGGTTGTAATTTCTGTCAAGTTTCCTCCTGTCTTAAATAAATATAAGTGTTTCCTAAAACAAATAAAATCCCAGCAAGCTTAGTTATAGTGTGTGATGGCATGAAATAGATTGCTGAGGCACTTCATGTTTTTACGGAAGAATAAAATACCTAGCATGATATCATAACGTATAACATAACCCAGCATTCTTGGGTTGATGGTTGGACTTAATGATCTTAAAGATCTTTTCCAACCTTAATGATTCTGTGATTTTGTGGTATATCCTGGCGTTTACTTTCTTGGGAGTGAAGGGGAGAGATGTTTGTCTTTTTTCTCCCTCCTCCCCTCTCCCTCCTCCCCTCTCCCTCCTCCATACTCTCTTCTTCATTGACCTGTGTAGTATGTATGTGTATATTTATGTTTGTCTTCAGTATGTGAGAGAACTGAACACAGACATGCCAGTATAACTGCTGATCTTGCGTATCGCTAGCCATATGATTGTCTCTGATTAGCTATTTGCTTGGATAACACAGAGTGCTCTTCTTGACGCACTGTCAAATTGGCCTGTCATCTCTCTTATACAAACTTTATTTATGGAACAGAAAAATCAATATTCTTGTTTTTTCTTCAATGTTCACAGTTAGCCCCATTTCATCTGATATAGTTTCGGAATTCGTGGTAAAGGAGCAAGTACGTGAAATGAATAAAGAAATTGCTGAGAAAACAGAGAAGTATAAGAAATGCAAGCAAATGTTGGCAGTAAGTAAATGGCTGCTTCAGAAAGCTGAACGGAAAGTAGCTATAGGTGCTAAGTCTTAAAACCACAAAGCTTACCCAGCTGAGCTACCTTGCTTGTTTGTGTGATACACTGCGATTATGGTAGAAATATTAACATTAGAAACCACATTTTTAAGTCAGCTCTTGATTACCTGTGGTGTTAGAGAGTCCAGACAAGGACACCTCAGAATAACCCAGATGCAGTAAAACAAATGAACAAAACTACTACTACTTCTGTGCTTAAAGTTTTGAGTGCTTTTTTTTAAAAAAAATTTTGTTTTAAGTATAATTGCTTTTATAAATCAAATACAGCATGTTGCTATAAGCCAGCTGATGTCTGAGACGAGTATAGCAGTGTTATCTGACATGCTGTTCAAGTTTAAGAACTCCCTCCTAACCTGACTGTCCCGTGCTTTTACAGTATTTTGATGTCCGAGTGGGTGCGGCCTACTAGCTTGGGCTCAGTCATACACAGAGGCGTTTATATGGTTCTCTGGACCAAAGTTGGCACCAGTAGTGCTGCATCCACAATAGCAGTGCCCTTCAAATATTAATACCTGTCAGTCCTAGCTTGATTTTCATTTAAACAGTTTGGATGTATGTATGACAATAAAGTATTGCAGTAGTGATGCTGGTGAAAAGTTGACTGTTTTAGAATTGTTTAAAAAATGCTTTCTGAGTGTTGTACTGTCTCTGTTCATTTGTTTGCTTGTTGTCTGGGGATTAAAAAAAATAACAATTTGAAGTCAGAACAGTTAGAATTAAGATTAGAATTAAAAACCTGGGTTTTTCTCTACTTCAATATGTTTTGTTCTCAAATAGTCATAATACATTCACAAACTGCCATGAACTCAGCGTATCGTCTTGTTTCTCTTAATTTATTACACGGAGATTATTGTATTTTAATGTGCTTTCCAGTATGTAGCAACTGTCATGTAGTTCTGCTCATTACCCTGTCTGTGGAGAGCCTGCATTAGCTTTTGCTGGCTGTTTCTTACTATAGTGATGCTTTGAGGAAAGCTTTGCCTTTGACCTTCTGGATGAAAGATATTTAGGTTGTAAAAGTTGCATGGGGAAAGGTTTTGTATTGAAGTGAGACACTTGAAAGGATAATCATGATTACAGTGTAGTATTAGGATACAAAGAACCTTGAAATTGTTTCAACAGCTTGTTGAAAACTCAGGCAAGAAAAAAGATGTATTGAACATCATTTATTCAGTGTTCAGTGGTCCTGTCCTCTTCAAGATCTTGAGTCAGGCTTGATATCTTGGGGAAGCTGTTTGTTAATGGTAAAAGCATGGAGTTGCACAGCGTCGTTGTCGGGGGCGCGGAATTCTCTTAAAATTGTAAATATTTCATGCCATGGTATAAACTACTTTAGGATGAGAAGATGAAATGCAGTATTTATGCTGATGAACTAGCTAAACTGGAGCTGAAGTGGAAAGAACAAGTGAAAATCAATGAGGGTATAAAATTACAGCTAGCAGCAATGGAGGATCAGTATAAAGTAAGTTATTATGGCAATGAATGGTATCCTGTTCTTAACATAGTTGCTCATTTCTGATAGTTCAAATAATGAACAGTTTTAATGGGGGGGAAAACACGAACTGTATTTTTGCTGTAAATAGAAAATCTGTTTTGCACTTGTAGAAAGAACACAGTCTTGTAATGCTTCTTTTAAAGCAAGACAGACCTGCTAAGTATATTACCAAATGGCTATCAGGCTTTTAATTTTGTGGATTTAGACAAACCTCTAAATTACTTTAACCTTGTATTACTGGAAAAAAAGGGTAGAGAGTTCTAATTTCCTGTTGCTTGCTAGCAGGAATATTGATTGGTATTATTGGTCATCAGTGGTATGATTAGTATTTGTCTAAAATCTTCATGCTGTATGCTGCATTACCAGTATAGTAATGTCTAACGCATTTTGTCTGAATTAACTATAGAGGTATGAGATGGGTGATATACTGTGGTTAAAATCATTGTGAAAGAATCACTTTAATTTGGAGGATCTCTAACTATAGTCTCAGTAGAGTGGTGCAACACATGCACCAGAAAGTCAAGCATAATGGGCAGCTTTACCTTACACGGGACCTTACTCTTTGAGGTTATGTAATAGTAATACATATGTTGAAGTGGCTTTCTAGGTCGACAGGGACAACATAAGGATGACAGAAACAAATTTCCTTCCTGACCAGCTTTTGTGCTTTTTTTCAGTCTCATGGTAATAGTGTAGTTGACAGGATAGAATACTCTTGCCCATTGCAATGAACAGGGATTAAATTGCACTGTGACTGTATGAGTTCTAGTAGGTAGACCCTCCCATTAGAAATTACTGCGCTTTTTCTTTACAAAACACTGAATTACTCTATAGGTCATTTCAGCACTCTGTAGGCTGTGCTGTCCTTTTTTGACACTTTTCAAAGCTCTAATTTCAGTTTCATAGAATGCATGACTCCTTCCAATTTATTTAATTTTATTAATTATCAGTGTTTGGTTGCCATGCATAATTTAATGGAAATTTGTTTTTAACTTCTCAGCAGCAGGAGTAATAAATAATTGGTTCCAAAATTGAAAGCATTTTGACTGCAATTCAAAACTTGTTATCATTCAGGAGTATTCAGGTGCGGGAGAAAGTGAGCTTTTTTTTCCCCAGTTGGTAGCTTTGTCTCTGACGTGAACTAGGAGAGGGAATTTCAGAATTAAAAGAAATTGATATGTAACTGCAGAGCATTGAGCTTATATGCTAGAAAAACAAGTGGAGAGGCAGTCTCCAAAGTAACCAGAATTCAAATAAAATAGCCCTTTGTAGAGAGAGATTATTTAAATAATCATTTTGAAGCAAGGAGCAAGCCTGGAAGAATTATGTAATTTGTCAGTTGCATTTCCTCCCACAGCACCCAATAGAGACACAAGGTAGATGTTTGTGAAAAAAATTTAGTGTCTTTGAGGTAAGAGGAGATTTTGGTTCTCTCAGCTCTGTTCTCTGAACACAACTGTTCTCTGAAAACCAGCAAGAAAAAGCTGCTAATGTGCTCCTGTTACCCAGTAGATAAGCCTAGGGAGAATTGTTGGTTTTGATTTGTAGTAGTACTAGATGTTGCATGTAACCACAGTAGACAAAATAATTTGCATCTGAAAGATGAACTTAATCACTGACCTTTGTTTTCACAATATAACATGCAGGGAAATAGTTTCTATTCACTAATACAGGAGTCTTAAACTTGTTTTCATATAGGTTCAGCTGGCTGAAAAAGAGAGACGAATAAAGGAACTGGCATCACAGTTGGAACTCTTCACCAGTGAGAAGGTATTGTCAGGATTCCTGTTAAATCTTGTAAATTAACACTTGTGAGGTTCTCTGGTTTGAGAAATTGCAGTTTATTTTTAAGTGAGAATTTGTTTATTCTTTAAACATACTTTTCTATATTAGGAAGTTTTGTCAAAATGAATTAGCATTTAAAACTACAAATTCTATTAATAATACTAATATATTTTTTAAAAAAAGTACACCAGAGTATACCAACTTGCCAAAATTGACTCAGCCTTTGAAAATATTGTTGTTTATTTTTCTGTAATGGTGTGTAATAGTGTGTCAAAATTACTTCTTTGTGTCAAAAATTATTTCTTTCTTCCTGTCTAGAATGAGACTCCATCCAGGATCTAAAATAATTATTTCTGTTTGCAGATAGGGTTTCCTCGGTGTAAATTAATAATCTGAAATTGCAGCCAGCTATACAGTTCACAGAACATAGGAATTCCTACCAGTTTTTATCCTATGTTCCTTTCTCATTTCAGCCGCATCACTGTTTCTCTACAAGTTTTCAGTGGACTTCCAGCTTCCTTCCAGCTTTATTCCTCTGTATCTCTTAGTGGAAGAGGTTCAGCCCTGTTGTGTCTGGAGGCTGAGACCAGCATAGTGCATGTGCTGCTTTGCCAAGCAGAAAAAATTATTATTGAGCTTGTTTTGTAGCCTTTCTGTCCTGTAAGGGAGCACCAGTTAATAAAACTGGCAGGAATTGAATTTCTTTGAGATATTCTCTCCCTGATACTTTCAGGGGACAGGCAGCACAATTAGTAAACCTTATTCCCTTTGGAGTCCTGGCATAAAGACAGGAATGGTACATACCTAGCTTGACAGTTTATTTTTTCCATCACTGGTTAGGATTATTTTTGCTCTTATTAGGTGCTGTCCTATAACTAGGGATGTAGACATTTCATCAGTATAATCTCCAGGTTCTTCATGATGTGTGCATACAACCAAATCCTTTTGACATCTGCAGTTCTGTTACTGACTGCTTGTAATAATAAGAGCAGCTTGACAGTGACAGTAGTGACTTTGGTAAACTACAACTGGAAAAATGTCTTTATCAGAAAAGAAAGGTACACCAACAGTACTCTGATTTTTAAATATATGATAGAAAATGGATTGCTACTTTCAAGAGTTCACTGTCTTGTCAAATTAATTACCATTACTGTTAAACCAGACATTCTGAAATACTAATGCTAATGTTCTAATGTTGGAAGTACTTCTAAAGGTATTATATGACAATTAATCAAAGCGAGGTTTTACTGGAAAGTGAAATAATAAAATGTCCTCACTACATTCAGATAGTATTGCATGATACTATGGAAAAGTTAGGATTGTTCAGACTACTTAAAAAATTCAGTGTGAACAGGTACTTAATAAGAACAGGAATTTGCATACTGATAACTTAACTAGCTTAATCTGGAATTAGTTTAAGTGTTTTGTAAAATTGTAGATTCTCAAATAGTTGATTTTTAAATAATATTTTTTTTTTTAACCAAAGGTATAAATTTAGTAGAGAGATCTCATATTTTTCCAATTCAAAGGAAGGCAAAATAAAAGTTGAGTTTTGATGAATCTAGTTTAGCTGGAGGAAGTAATTTTAAACACCACACATAAGGAGAACAACTGTAATAAAAATGTATGGAGCTTATAAAAGCTTGGAACTTTGTCTACCAAATTTATAGATATTTACATTACAAAGAAGAATCAAAGTGCCTTGCTAGACTGGAACCATGACTTAAAAGATTAAGCACAGTATAGTAAACAGCTTTTCAATTTATACACCATTATCAGTGTTTGTTTATAAATGTCACCAAACATAGTGTGCTAAAAATGTTCATTTGCTGTCTTTTCAAACCTATAAAATTACTTGGTTTCTATTTTATTTACATACTTATATAGCTTTCTTTTTTTCAATCAGTCTCTACCCTAGCTGTGCAACTTCTGGCTAAGGCTGTTTTACAGCACCTTTTTACAGTCACTTTGATCTACATTCTGTTTTAATCTTACATGATGCTAAAATTAAAGTATTAATGCAACTGCCTCTCACTCTAAACTGCTTCCACATTGTAGAAGAAATCTATTTTAAAAAAGGAAAAACCTTAATTTCACTGATAATTAATTGTTCCTGCTTTGTATTGAGTAAAAATTAATTATTTAGGTTTTACATGGTCACTAAAACTTTAGGATATAATCCTAACCATTTCAAATCATAGATGCAATTTAGTCTATTAATCTAAAGTAATGCTACCATAGTTCTATATCGTATCTACAGGAGGATATTTTTCTTGGAGGGTGTTAGGCAGAAATTGTATTGTCCTATATTACTTTCTCCTAGAAAAAACTGCTGAACACTACTGTTTTTACGGACAGTGCCCCAAAAAGATAACTTTCTGTATGCTGCCTTGCCATTTGTAGATACTACTTTTTTTCCTGTTTGAAAATTACTTTACGATATTATTATTGGAGTCCAAACGCTTTGTCTGAAACCTGATAGTATGTATATAACAGCAAGTGTATAATCTTTGTCTTTTTTCATTTGAGTGGTGTTTTGTTTTCAGAGAAGTTATTGCTACTTGATTTTGCATTTTTGTATTCTAGCATTTTGGCTGAAGTTTACTTGTTTTTAAGAAAAATACATCAAGTTGTTCCTTTTAATAACTGAGACATTTTACTTCTCATGTAGTTAAATTGCCAATTGAAATTTTGGTTTTAAGTTTCAATTCAAAGTCTTTTGGGGAAAACACACACTTCCATCTTGGGGCTTTTTGTTAACATTACATTAGCAAACATGTAACACGAACCCAGAGAATCCAAAAGAAAATGCTAACCAGAAAGAAAAAGATTATTGGAAAGCATATCAGTCTTAACAGCCTCTATTTTTTAATGATTATTTTCATTTTTACATCTCAGAATTCTTTGCTTGGTTCCGAATTGTAGATGATGCATTCCTTTGAATATTCTGGCATACGTGCT